ACTCAAGAATGTGAAGGAAGTCCAACAGTTCATGGGGTTATGCAACTACTACCGACGATCGATCGACGGGTTTGGTAAGATTGCGGTCAACCTCAACAAACTGCTCAGGAAAGACCAAAAGTGGGTTTGGGACAACCAAGCAGAAAAAGCGTTTAGCGACCTCAAGAAAGTGTTCGTTGAACGAACGATACTCGCACCAGCCGACCCAAGCAAACCATACACAGTGGAAACCGATGCATCGGACTATGCACTCGGAGCGCGACTCACTCAACCGGGAGACGACGGGAAACCAAGACCAGTGGCATTCTGGTCTCAGGGGAATGATAGCCGCCGAACTCAACTACGACATCCACGACAAGGAATTGCTAGCCATAGTGTCAGCACTCAAGGTCTGGAGAGCGTACCTGGAAGGAGCAGAACATCAGATACTTGTCAAATCGGATCATAAGAATCTCACATTCTTCACAAGCACGAAGGAACTGACGAGACGACAAGCGAGATGGGCAGAAACCCTGGCAAGATACGATTACAGGATCGAACATTGTCCAGGCACAGCCAACAGCCAAGCAGACGCGCTTAGCAGAAGACCCGACTACGCGATAGGGGTTAAGGAAGCCGTACCAGCAATACTCAAGTCAGACAATGACGGCCATCTAGTATATAACCACCAGAGCTTAGCCGCCACCAGCGAAATCAGGAACGATGGATGGATCAACAGACTAAGAGAAAGCCTGATCGGTGACCCGATCCACAAAACGGGATCCACCGAAAGAATCACCAATGAAGACGGATTGATCTACATCCATGGATTGATCTACGTTCCACAGAAGCTTCAACAGGAAGCGATACAGCGACACCACGACGACCTCACGCATGGGCACATGGGAGTGGAAAAAACGGTAGAATTCCTATCAAGGAACTACTACATCCCAAGCATGCACAGAAAGGTCAGAAATTACATCAGGCAATGCGACACTTGTCAGCGAAACAAGCCATCGCGACACACACCCTATGGCGAGTTACAGAACTCGGAAGTACCAACACGACCATGGGAATGGATCACACTGGATTTCATCACCAAACTACCAAAGTCAGAAGGACATGACATGATCATGGTAGTTGTGGACCGATTGACGAAATATTCGTACATGATACCAACAACGGAAACGATCGATGCCAAAGCCATGGCATCCCTGTTGTTCAGATACATATTCGCCAACCACGGAACACCCGAGAAGATGACATCAGATAGGGACAAGCTCTTCACGAGCAAAATGTGGAAATCATTCGCGGATATCGTAGGCATTGAGCATAGACTCTCCACTGCCTATCATCCTCAAACGAACGGTCAAACAGAACGAACGAACCAAACTTTGGAACAGTATCTAAGGCACTACGTGAATTACCAACAAGATGATTGGGCAGGACTGTTACCATTGGCACAATTTGCGTACAATAACGCCATGCACGCAACCACGAAAGAGACCCCGTTCTTCGCAAACTATGGGTATAATCCCTCAATCATCGGAGAAACCATTGGGAAACAAGCAGAGGCAGAATCATCGAGACTTCTGGCCTCAGGACTCAAGCAACTACACCTCCAATTGGCAAGAGACATCGAGTTCTTCAACCTACGAATGAAGCATTACTACGACCAAGGCCACCAGGAGGGACCAGACCTAAAAAGAGGGAAAAAGTGTACCTCCTACGTCGGAACATCAAAACCAAACGACCAAGCTCGAAACTTGACCATCTAAAGTTAGGACCATTCGAAATCGAAGAAAAAACAGGACCGGTCAATTATCGCTTGAGACTACCTGACAGCATGCGACGCATTCATGCGAATTTTCATATATCGTTACTCGAACCCGCACCGAAAAACGCTAAACTCGCTGCAAATGTGGAAATAGAGGAAGAAACAGAAAACGAATATGAAGTCGAGAGCGTCCTAAACATGAAGCGTGTCAACGGAGAACCCCACTACCTAGTGAAATGGAAAGGCTACGATACCTCGGAAAACACATGGGAACCTATCAAGAACCTGACGGACTGCCGCCAGCTGGTTCAACAGTTCCACCAGGAGGCTGGCCAAAGACGCCATCAAGGGAAGAAGCGTCCGGGACGGCCCAGAAAGCATCTGGCATCTGGTCCATCGACGCCACCATCCTCGTCAGACTCGAGTCTGACGTAGCAGCCAGTTGACGAATCTCTTGCTGCTCGGCCAGACGGTCGAACTCCGAAAGCTCAGCAAGAGATGGGGGATCGTCCTCATTGAGACGATCCGACACCACCGAGTCGTGATCCAACATCCGACCACCACGATCTTTGAGAAATTGTTGATGTTTCTGCAAGCGAAGAATTTTCGCCATTGCCTCATTCATTTTTTGGGAATACTGAAGAAATTGTTTTTGGGCCTCAGTAAGGTCCGCCGAAACTTTCTGCTCCTCCCGTTGCAAGTCATCCCACTCCTTGTCGGTATGAAAGCTTCGTTCACACACCTGGCCCCGACGAGCGCAGGTGGAACACTTCTTGCTATTCGCATAAGGACTCATAATGCAACACTTGCCACGGACGAGACAATAATCACAAGGGGATGACGCGGGGCGACCAGACTGTTCGATTCTAAGGGCAAGACGATTGTTGTCAGCGTACTTGTTACGTTTCGGCTTTTGAACAGCGGGTTTAGGCATATTGAACCATGACGGAGAAATTGAAAAACAGAACGGACCAACACTTACCTGAGGGGGGTGGACGTTTATAAAGGATTCTCGAGGACGAGAACCAAGGAGAGGGGAGGATGATGTTACGGACCCCGCGACGCGGGGGCTGCAACTCACAAATGGGCCATCGAGAGCCAATCATTTTGCAACCACCACAACCGCCCACAGGTCACGTGCGGAACATCATAAGAAACCATGGCCTTCCCACCAGAGCCACACGATACAGGATAACTGGGTCAACGGATGGGGAAGACATGGTTAACCCAGGCATCGTGCGAAGGGCAGCATCTTGCGTCGGGCTGGTCCCTACGGGTCGTTCCACCCTACGGTAGCTCGGTCCGCACGACAAGCTAGGGCGCGCGACGGAAGGCGCCACAGGAACCAGACCATCGCACGAATCACCACGAGTTCCTAGTAACCCAGAAAAGTCGTGGAGGTTCGTACGATAACACCCGACGCGGGGACAAGGACGCCATGCGATAAGCACGTAATCACAGGGTATACCAGCGGGTATACCAAGAGGTAGATGGAAGGGCACAATCTGGTATACCACCAGGTGTACCCTCCGATATACCACGCCACGAAGGATTAGATATATAAGGACACTCCTTACACACATGTATTTAGCTCTTCGCGATTAATCAATCTAAGTTACTACAGTATACCTTTTGGGATTACTCTTCATTCAGTTTCAGTCCTGTGACAAACATACTACAAGTAGGGGAGCTCTTCGGACTGACCTACTTGGCGCACTACCTGGCGCCTCCTTGAAGTTACTCTATAAGATCCGAGTCCGTGTAAGGCTTAGCACAGCAACGGTACGATTGCGAGTTGATACTTGAGGAGTACGAGTGATAGATATCACGACAACCAACGACACAGACGACAACTGGTAAGTTGTCCACCCAGATCTAACCACTCACTGTGACCAGTTAGCAAAGCGTGTAACATAATACTTCTCTATATAATATATATATTTTATTTTATTAGTATAGAAGATTCCTATATATCTAAATTATTAGTAGTTAAAGTACTATTATATATAGAGACCTCTATTATATAGAAGTACCTAATACTAGTTTAAATCCTAGAGTACTCTCTCCTTAATAGTCTAGTTTACTACCTATAGATTACTAAGTTTAAGGATAATTGAAGCTAACTTTACTCTATCCTTTAGTATCTATAGCTAGTTAATTTTTATAATTACTACTAGGGTAGTATTAACCTTCCAATACTAAGAGTTCTCTACCATAATAGCTTTTCTAATTATCTCCTAGGTCTCCTATAATACCTAGATTGGGTTACCCCTTATTAGCCGGTTAATTAGCAATTTTACCTATATACTGTATACAATCACCCCCCAGGATAGTATATAGATAAATACTATTAAGCCGAAGCTCTTTACCCATCCCCTGTATAGCTATATTAACTACACCTCCCAGATATTATATACTGTAATCCGGAGATTACCTAATTTAAGCTAGCAGACTACCCTAACTATTACTATCACCAACGTAGCCATACCCAACTCTTTAGTAAAGTCTGTACGGACCTTATTAGTGTAGGCCTTGATCTCCTAAGAGGTCTGGCTACAATATCTTTTTCTCCTAATTACGATCGTTAAGGCAGATAATCATATCCCGGTTACGTACTATATCTAGAGATATAGGGGAAGAGGCATTCAAGGATAGGGGCAACGACAGTTAATAGGCTGGCGTAGGCACGTATACCGCGGCTTAGGCCTAGGTAGCCGTACCTATACACGTCGGAGGCTCTATAGCTGCTTTGACAGCGTTATGAATCTCCTTAGAGAGATCGTTACGGAGGGACTAAAGCTCCTACTACCAATCGTATAAGGGAAGTCTTGCGAGATCGTCAGTGAGCGCTCTAGTACTCTCAAGGAATTCCCTTATCCGGTCTGGTTTCATCGGTTTCTGACTACTATTGAGTTCCATCAATAGCTCCGTGGCGTTACGATTGAGGTTCTGAGCGCGTTCACGATTCGAATGCAAATTTTTCAACGTGGTGGATGCGCCCCCTGAAGGGCGTGAAACCACCTTCTCCACGCGCCGCACCGGCATTTTGAGCTAGGATATACCAAACCGGGCTCAAAATGTAGCGCGTGGAGTTATTTAAAACTTGCAAGGTACTAGAAGTTGCCAACTGGCGTGGTTCCTGAGATATTTCAAAAATTCGATTTGCGCCGAAATAGTTGTTTTTTCATTTGAATTGTAATGTAGTACATATTGAAGCAGTAGTTACAAGATCCCCGAGCTTCACTTAATCCAACTTCAAAATCCTTCGTGCGTTTCCCCAGCCAATCTTGGCTCTCGAGTTATTGTTCAGATCCAAATTATCGAACCACGAGCCAATCTCATTGTAATCCTCGTAGGGGTAGTCAACACTCCACATAAGCCTATCCTCTCCACAGGACTTCAAAGTATTGAAAAAAGTACCATCATCTATGACTCCAGCCGTGGTGATGTAGAAGTTCTTTTCCCAATACTCCTGCAATCGCAACTTGCAGGGAGTGTGGTGAGATTGGAAGTGTCTCAGCCTATGGTCGATGCGATTGATCGAGAACGGTATTCCCTCGCCGCAGTGTCCGAGTATAATCCGCAAATTAGGGTGCTTATCGAACAACCCCGAGATCATCAAGCGAATCGCGTGTGTGGCTGTTTCCGTTCCAAATCCCCATGGGCTACCACCTAGGAACTCGTATCCCTTGTAGGCACGCATCTGGCTTGGCGAGGGGATCCGTGGGTGCATATAGAGCGGCACGTCGAGCTCGGCCATTTTGGCCCAGAATGGAGCGCATTGTGGTTCGTCCAGATACTGAATTTGGTCGGCGCTTCCAATGTTGGAGAATCCATTGATTAGGATGCCGACAAACCCAAGACCCTTGATGCAGCGCTCAGCTTCCGCAGCTGCAGACTTGGGGTCTTGCATAGCGACACAACCAAACGCCCGGAATCGATCGGCGTAAGGCCCTGCGGTGTACAGCTCGTGGATTTCGTTATTGACCTTGCGGGCCGTATCAACCGCAACAGCAGTATCAAAGATTCCTTCGATACCGGGCATGGTCAAGGAGACCACGGTGAGAACCACGCCGGCTTCGTCCATAGCCTTCACACGAGCCTCAACATTGGTGAGTCTGTCTTTCACGTCTGCAACATACTTGGTGTCGACGTAGGGAAGCTCGGCTGTGCTGTTCACAGGCGGTAGTGTCGCTGTGGCATTGAAAACGTGGGTAGAGATTGCCTCCTCGATAGCAATCTTCTGGAAAGTCTTTTTGGCGGCTCCGCTGAACGTAGGTCTTTGGGTGAGCGACTCGGACATTTTGGGGTTGTCGAAAGAGCTGAAACGGGCGACAGGTAGTTTTCAAGACCGGGCCAAGTATATAGATGTAATAGGGTAACGGAGAGAAATTCCTTCGCTGACCTCGGGAGTACTAGTTTATAAGCTTGGAAACTTGATGTTGAACAGGTTAAAAAAACAGCTTTACTACTACTTTGTGTTCGAATTTATACTCTTCACTGGACAGCCGGATGACTCGGACATTCCGAGGCCAGCAACGCTCTTCGGATGTAAATGAACCTTGGAGCACAACCTTGGAAGGCGTTAACGTTGGAACATGCTCCGATGTTGAGGGTTCACATGAGCTAGTATTGAAAGCGAGTCCCACTTCCCATAGTCAGTATGCCTAGTCCCACAGTCCCACCGGCCTTCGGCAGAGCTTCCCAGTAAGTTCGGACTCGGAGTTATGGTCACGGAGTCCGAGAGGTGCGAGAACTATCTGAAAGGTGTTAGTCAAGGTTAACATATTCTACAATCGAACAATTTTTGTACAGTTACTACCGGAAATATGATCAACTGCTTGCCAAACGTCTATATCCGCATAAACGTTCCGTTTGTGTTCAAGCCGGTTAAGAGCCGCCAAGCATGAATGCCTCAGGCATCAAGGATCGCCCCCTTCCGCTCCAAGATCGCTGCCACTCTTCCTATTAGATAATTAGACACTCGCATTTCATCACCACTTTCAGAGCTCCGACTCAGAGCCCCTGCCAGTATAGAAAGATCGTCACAAGTTCGCCCCATTGGTTTTTGGAGTATATTCGATATGGAGATCTCAACGCTTGCTTGACAGAGCCTTTACCCGAAGAAGAGGTGAGGAAAATAGCATACCAGGTAGTTGAAGGTTTGGTCTTCCTGCATGATAATTCTTTCGTTCATCGAGACATCAAACCAAAGGTAAAAAAAAGCCAGAAGCAGATAGGGAGAGAGATTTTGGGATGAGACCGTCCAGCTAACGCGTTTAAAACATCTTTGTCGTTCAAAAAGGCCCTGAGTGGCTGATCAAGGTTGGTGGTTTTGGGTTGAGCAAGCGAACCAGCGAGGATAGTAATTTACGCACCAGACAGGGTACACAAGCATTCATGGCCCCCGAGATCCAGGGTATCCTACCTCCCGAAGAGGAAGAGGGAAACCAGAACTACCAATATACGGAAAGTGTTGACATTTGGGCGCTTGGTGTGGCCATATTCTATCTACTCTTTCATGATTATCCATTTTCCCTGAACTAGCCAAGTAAGCTGCCTCAATATATCCGGGGTGCTGATTTTTCCCTTCCCAACATCGCCGTCGCAAGATTTCAGCCAAGAATGTTACGGCTTCATGGAGGCAGTTATGGCACGGAATTCTAAGATAAGGTTGTCTTCAAGAAAGACATTGGAGAGCAAGTGGCTTGTGAAATGCTATTCCAGCCCTGATCCGAGTTCTTCTCCAAGTCCACCTTTCGGAACAAACTTTTTGAATTCTTCAGCGAGAATATCTCTCGCCACGCGTCCTCAATAGAGTTACCCAGCAGCTCCTCGCCGCCGTTGGCAGCTTCAGAGCCTAGTGGTTCGAAAATTGAATTCAGCATCATGAAGGATCGTGATGTAAGCGAGGATGTTGAAGGCGCATCACAGAACAACTTCATCCCGGAGATCTCCTTGGGTCCGAAATGCTCAGAACCGCAGATATCATTGCCCATTATCTCAGGATCAGAGCTAGACATTCCAAGAGTCGAAAGCAATTGGAGATCTTCTCTAGAGACCTTAATCAAAGACGATGCACAGTCAAGGTCAGACACGCCACTCGCCAAAGCAAATATCTCTGCGAGCGACGGGAGCAATTCGTCGCCCAATGAACATTCGTCTTCAATGCATCACAAAGCTAGAAAGGCTGACCTTGATCATCCTCTCTCCGATTCCTCTACCTACTTCGCAGATCCCGGACTGGATGGCCCTGTTGTCGCATCTGAATACGACGGGTCACTACTATTGGATCCTTTTACGTCCCAAAGAGCTTCCTCCATCCATCAGCGATCAAGCACGGGCGATCTTATGAGTTCAACCAGGAACCATGCTTCCAGCGTTGCTTCCAATTCTACACAATCCATAATCTCTTTTATTGAACCTTCAAGTTCAAGTTCCCACTTGGAGTCCTAAGAAAATATGTTTCAAAAAGAGGTCGCTGCTAGTGGTGGGAGGTGTGCATCGCTCCATGATACTCCACAAACACACATAATGTTGGAAATGCTCAAATACTACAACTAAAATGAGGCAGACAAACTCCTGCAACAGGTTCTCAATACACAGAAGCACACATTTGGAACAAAGCATGAAGCAACGCTGAAGCCATATCACTCTGTGGGGAAGCTCTGTTATCAGAACATGCAGTATTCCACCGCAAGCGCGCTTTTCGAATTCGCAGCAGAGGGGAGAAAGGAGATAATCGGGCTAAAACACCCGGATACTCTGAGGTCGTTTTACTGGCTTGGCGATACGAAATTTGAGCTTGAGCTTTTCCAAGAGGCAGAGGTGGTTCTGAGACAGAACGCAGAAGACCGAGCAAGTATTCTTGGATCCAACAACCATGAAACCCTCCAAACAAGTCACAGACTTGGTATTTCTCTCTGGGCTCAACAGAGGTGGAAGGACACTCTGTCCGTTCTGGAATTGGTGGTCGAGCAAAGACGAAATACCTTGGGTCAAGGGCATCCAAACACTCTGAGCTCTTTGTTTTGGACTGGCTACTCCTTCTACAAGCTTGAGCTGTACGGAAATGCACGGCTAGTTTTCGAAGAAGTAGCCGTTGACCAGAAGGTAACCCTTGGGTTTTTGGGTCACGAAACTATCCGGACGATATGTTTCATCGGCCGCTGCCTCTATCAGTTAGAGAGATGGGACGAAGCGACAGCTACATTAGAAAAGGCGGCCACGTTGAACCATCTCTCAGGGCCAAACCGCACTACGTTACATGTGCTTTAGTTCTTGGTCGCGCTCTCTTATACTCGGAAAGGTATGATAAAGCGAACCGCATACTCAAAGAAAGAAGCTGCAGACGGGCAGAGATGTATCCTTGGGCCAACGCACCGTGAAACCCTATGGTCATTGTATAGGCTTGGTCGATCATTTCAGTAGCTAGGCCAGTCTTTGGAGGCGGAAGCTACTTTCCAGGAAGCAGTGGAGGGTGGAGTCGAGACTCTTGGACTAGACCATTCCGAGACCTTGAGCTCCATGTACAGGCTTGGCGTTTCACAATGCAAGTTGAATTTTTTTGCAAAAGCCAAGGATAAACTGCATCAGGCTCTGAAGGGACAGCTAAAGGCCCTTAGACCCAGCGACGTGAATACTCTGGACTCGCTCTTGTGGCTCGGTTGCCCAGTTCATCACGTGTAACTTTATGATCAAGCTGAAGCCATATATCGTGAGGCTTTAACATGGGAGATCGAGATTTTCGGAAATGCTCGTTCAAGTACTTTGGGTAGCATTGATTCACTTGGGTGGGTATACTTTCGCGATGAGAAATATGACAAGGCGGAGGAGCTTACTGCGTTATTAGTTGAACGCAGAATGGAAACAAACGGGCTCGTGGATACAAGAACACTGGAAGCAAAGAGTCTTCTGGCTTTCACACTTCAGGCACAGGAATACATGAAACGTGCATTATCGTTACACCTTGAAGTATTTGATAGCAGAGTTGAGGTTCTAGGACCGCAGCACGAAGATACGATGAAGAGCATGCATGAAGTTAAGAAGTGTGAAGCCGAGCTACAAGTAGAGGAAATGAGAGGGAACGAGGCATGGGAGCGGACAAGAGCGTCTTACTCGACAGAATCATCGAGAGGATCGCCTGAGGAGGAAAGGAGGAACAAGAAGAATGATTGGAATGATGTGTGGACGCGAGTAAAACGAAGGGTGAGCAAGCCGGATGAAACATTCTGAAGGGATTGCCTTGCCCATACGCTTCAAATAAACGGAAGGTATGGCGTATTCCCGCTCAGTTCCCGAGCCAAGGAGGACCGCGGCCTCGGTGGCATTCCTAGGAAAGCCGAGCCCGGCGCGGCGTACGACCACTTTCTGCTTACGGCCGCTGGATAGTACCGGGGCCAAGCTTCTAAATCTTACCATGAAAAGAAAGCGATGGATATGAAAGTGGGGCCAGGAAAGAGTCACACAAACTGAATATGCAACTGAATCCTTCTGGAAAGTCATGCCAAGACCAAGGTCGATTGTTCATTCCCATGGGTACTACATAGATCGGGCGCTGGATGTAGTAATGGATTATGCGGGTAGAATCGAAGGAGCCTTCCGAAGGAATGAGGCTTTGGGACTATTCCCTCGCGAAATCCTCGCATTTAGGGATTATGCATTTCAGTTCTCCCCTCACGGACCAGGTCCCACTTATGGAACCCGGGGGCTTTAGGCCTAAACTCAAATAAGTATCCGGGGCAAACAATCTTCGAATATGATTAGTGGGACGTTCTAAAATTCTGCCCCAATATCATCACCTCCTTACATGGCTTGGTGAACTTGATCACCTTGCTTGCCCTACCGGCTAAAAAGCGTTCCGCCATGCTGCCAAGGGTCGTCCAGGAGTCCCACGTGCAATCCACGTGTAAAAGCCAGTTGCAAGCTTTCGAGTATGTACCAGCCAAGTGAACCCATTTCGATCGATCTGCAGAGTACTTTTCCGAGTTGATACCGACTTGCCGCGGTGCAGAATCGTACGACGCAGGGGGAGTCAGGCAATGCAAAAAAAGCAAACGGTTCCCGGGCGTTGCTGACTTGAATCCTCACAAGGATACCGTAGCATACAAACTCGGACTAGATCAGCGGTGTGTCAGTGGCGCGCCTCATCTTCTGACCCCCGCTAAGTCTCGGGCTTTACCGAGGGAAGGCTTTCGCCATGTCATACTCCCTACGGAGTCGGTCCGCGCAACCCTCACCTCCAACTGGCCCCCAATTGTCAGATCTGCATGACCAGCAAGTTGCCCCATGCCGTGAATGGCTTGTTATGCCCGATGACTGACTAGGCTACCCAAAAACAGAAGGATTCCCCCAGTCTTGGCCTGTTAGGCAATTGGTGGACGGACCCGTCTCCCCGCTTCGACGCTTACGCTTCGAGCCTGTTAAGTGGGTCGAGTAGGGAGTCAGTCCTGCACAATAATCTCACTCTTTTCTCTCTGCTCGTATGATCATGTATGTAGTTGATGTGCTGTGTCAGGCTACGGTGGCCTATCTTTCTCATATGGGGGATTTCCAGCGCCCGAATTTATGATCTACCAACTCTCAAGCCATCAAGCCACCAAGCCACTGAACTCTCCCAATCAGGGACATTGAAAGTAACAAGTGTGAACTTTACCCCAAGCCGCCCGCTAGGATCCCGCCCCAAGGATCTTAGCCTCTTACGCCCGTAGTCTGTGCAATCATTGCAAATGTAGCCAAGGGGGCTGAGACCCGCCAAGGGTTGCTTTCGGCTTGACCGGCTTTCAGCCCGAGCGAGCTCGATAACGTTATATGTGGGATGCAGGTGCCAATCTGTTTTCCCCACGGGGATTGCCTTTGGAAGATTTCATTGACCCACAGGTGACTGTTTGGCCCAGGAGCTGGTTGACTTCTTCACCACCTCCTTTCACTATCTCTCCGCGTCGATACCCTCAAATCAAAATAGAGAATTTACCATCAAGATGAGTGAGAAAAAGCTCACCGAAGAGCCGAGCCAGGTGGCTCAGGTGGAGCACGCGAAGGACAAACGGACGCTCAGTGTGACCGATGCCACGACCCCGCGTATAGCTTCTGGAGTCAACATCATCGAGAACCCTTTGACGGTGAGAATCATGCACAACAACTGTCACATCTCAAAACAGGTAAAGAAAAAGCTGACAATGATCTTTCTTGAAGCGCGTTTCCAGAGAGCAAGCCGCACTCGATGCCCGCCATTTCGCCGAGACGCACAATATGGCCGAACATGCCGACTTGTTCGCGAGAGCTGCCCAGGTTGCTCGCGAGCCCAAGGAGTTTGAGGCACTCGAACTACACGATGATGAGCGGAATGCGCTTGTATACGAAAGGGATCACAAATGGCACGGCCCCAAGATGCTTTGGTATGCCATCGGCTTGTGCGCCGTTGGTGCGGCTACTCAAGGATGGGATCAGACTGGAGCCAACGGCGCCAACCTATCCTTCCCCGAAGAGTTTGGCCTCACGGGTAAAGGCCGCGACGAGTGGATTGTTGGATTGATCAATTCTATTATTTTCCTGACGGCGGGTCTTATGTACGTTGTATATGCAAGGATTTGAATTTGAGGACACCAAGAATCTCGGGAGCTAATTCATTCGATAGCGGTGCATTCATTGTCGATCCAATGAATCACTACCTGGGTCGACGAGGAGAGATCTTCGTCACTGCATTATGTCTTGTCGCTACGCCGATTGGTTCTGGATTCGCACGAAACTGGCACGACCTTTTTGTCTGTCGATTTATTATGGGCATTGGTATTGGAGCAAAAAATGCTACGGTCCCTATCTACTCGGCTGAAATGGCGCCTGCTCGAATTCGAGGTGCCCTCGTCATGTTTTGGCAGCTCTGGGTTGTGGCAGGTATGTTATTCCAAATCCCGCGTATAATTCGCATTCGCGCTCGTCTGATTCTTCCATAGGTATTTTCCTTGGTTTCTGCGCGAATGTCATCGTCAAGGATACCGGCGATATTGCCTGGCGTCTCCAGTTCGGTTCGGCCTTTATTCCGTCATTTGTTCTTGCCGTTGGAATTTTCTTCTGCCCCGAGTCGCCCCGTTGGCTCATGAAGCATGGTAAACATGACAAGGCGTTCCAATCGATGCTGGCACTCAGAGCCCACCCTATCATCGGCGCAAGAGACTTTTACTACTCGTACGTCATTTATGAGGAGGAGCTCAAAGAGGCACGGGGAGCTGGTTACTTTGCTCGCATGCGGGACATTTTCGCAGTACCGAGAATCCGACGCGCAAACTATGGTGCCTCGACTGTCATGATTGCCCAGCAGATGTGTGGCATCAATAGTAAGTTCTTCTTGCTTCCCCGAGAACCAAGCTCTGACCCCGTGCAGTCATCTCTTTCTTCAGTTCTTCCATCTTCTCCAATGCTGGATATGATGACACGCAGGCTTTGTATGCCTCACTTGGTTATGGCGCAGTGCAGGTTGTGTTCACCATTCCAACCCTATTCCTCATTGATACCAAGGGTCGACGAACTTTGACCTTGATTGTGAGTTCTCTCATATCCAAAGAAAAATAAGGTGTTTTCTAATCATCTCAGACGTTCCCCCTGATGTGTATTTTCTTGTTGGCTGCCGGACTGTCTATCTTGAACAAAGCAGACTCGCCTTCTTTGCATGTCGCACCAGTTGTCATGTGAGTATCAAATAGAAAAGAGTTGGTAAAACGGATGACTGATGACTGTAATCAGATTTGTCTACCTGTTCACCATCTGCTATTCGCTGGGTGAAGGCCCAGTTGCGTTCCAATATTCTGCCGAGGTGTTCCCCACCATTCAGCGTGAGCAAGGAATGGCCTGGGCTGTCTGCATCAATAACACTTTTGGTAAGACCTCGAACAAATCAACTTGGAAATCCTAGGCTAACGATTCTCAGCTGGTATCCTGGGGTTGACCTGGTTCCGTATGGAAACCGTCATGACTCAAACTGGTGCTTGTAAGTACCCGCGGTGACCATGAAAATACCCCTAAATATACTAGTTCTAGCACTAACTAGGATTTTACTCAGTCGGTTTCTACGCCGGTTTGAACCTAATCGCTTGGTTTATGATATTCTGCTTCGTGAGAGAAACGAAGCAATTGACCTTGGAGGAATTGGACCGTGAGTTACTTCAGGCAGCCGACTTGATTCTTCCTCGAATCATATCTAACATATCACAGAGGTTTTCTCCGTCCCGACGAGAGATTTCATCCACCATGAATTGACCGTCTGGCTTCCTTGGTTCATCAAGCGATACATCTTCCGCAAGGATATCCCCAAGCCACCTCCAATCATCGCCACGGCCGACGAGGCCAAGCATGTTACTGCCTAATCAATCGGCCGAGGTCAAGGGTGAGAGACTATAATCAGTCAATAATAATCCGTCTTTTTTCACTTAGTTCGTCTTGATGTTACTAGTTAAAGTGCCTGTGCAGAATGATTCAGCTCCCTAGTTCTTCAACTTGAATGCAAGCGATTCCCATTGCTACTATTAAATCCAAAGTCTCTTTCCAAACTAAAAATAAACGGATCGACGAGGAGTTATTTCGTATCGGACAGCATACACTCAGTGGTATAATTGCAGATTGTATGATCTTCCCAACCTCCACTCACACGTGCGGCAGCCAACGGCCTCCACTGATTAATTTCCGACATGACAGAGCAAAAGGAGCAGGGGTAAATACGAGCGCAATCATAATATTTAGAAACGATCAACCCATCGTCAAACCAACCCAAAAATGCACCGTAACATTCCATTCACAAATACGAAAGATCACCATGCGCTAGAGCCTCAAATGTCGTGCAGAGTTATTTTTAGCCCGTGATCCCGCAGCCACGAACTCTACTCCAGATTACGAGACTATGCACAATGCAGGAACGTCAAAAGCACGATGCTTCTTGGATGGTAAGAATACTAAGCATATTGTGAGTTATTGGCCGGAAAAAATAGCCGTTGTAGACGGAATGGCTATAGTTAGAACAATTGAAATACGAAATTTGGCCCCCGGCGACCACCTCTTCCCGTAATCCGAAGCCTTTAGTGATGATCTTTCACACATTCCTCAATTTTTTGGGGAGAAAATACGAGAGGTTATGATGTCAACCCTCGTGAAATCATTCTACTCTTGAAGCGGGCGTGTCGGGGCCGATTAGTACCTAGGTAGAGGAGAAATATGTATAAAAGCCCTCGACTTTCCATGGAAAAAGTCATATCAAACCCAAGCACATCTACCTTCGAGCTATCAGCAATCGTCCCGAAAATCCCAACTTAGAAAGCATCAAAGTCAACCTTCCTTCATCATGCTGTTCTCTTCAATCCTCGCCGTTTCTCTGGCAGCTTTACCCGCGATCAGCGCCTACCCCATCACAGGGGACACCGTCAACTGCCGCTCCGGCCCAGGAACAAACCACGCCGTCGTGAAAAGCTACAAAAGGGGCGAAGACATCAAAATTATCTGCCAAGCCTCCGGCACCGACGTCAAGGGCGACAGCCTTTGGGACAAAACCTCCGATAACTGCTACGTGACCGATTACTACGTCAAAACTGGCAGCACCAGCTATGTCACCGACAAATGCGGCTCCAGCGGCGGCGGAAGTGGTGGCAGTGGCAACGGAGACGGAAGCTCCATCGTCAAAGCCGCAGAGAAGGAAAAAGGTCTCCCCTACGTCTGGGGCGGGGGTAACTATAACGGACCGACTGGTGGCGGATTTGACTGCTCTGGTCTGACGCAGTATGCGCTGTACCAGTCGCTGCACAAGAAGATTCCGCGCACGGCGCAGACCCAGTACGATGCGACTAGTATCGGGAAGAGATATCCGCGCTCGGAGGCTAAGGAGGGCGATTTGCTTTTCTGGGCTGAGGGCGGGAATTGTAAGTCGGGTGTTTCGCATGTGGGTATTTTTATTAAGAAGGACCTTATGATTAATGCGGCGCATACGGGGACGCCGGTGAGGGAACAGTCCATTTGGACTTCTTATGGTGGGGAGAGTATTTGTGATTATGTTATGAGGTATGTGTTCGAATTCTTTTTGGCCTTTTCTTCGTTGGGTGGACGTGCTAACTGGTGTAGATTCTGGTAGATTCTTCTGATATGGCGTGCCAGAGGTTATAGTGTGAGGAAATTGGGATAGCTCTGTCTTCAAGCTTGTGATGTCGAGATAGAGCTTTTCTTGGATAGCTGAATATTGTTTTCAATTGCACTTCTTGTGCTCCGTAGATGCAGGGACATTCCTGTTACTGAGTAGGGACAAAGACATCGTATCCAGGCGTAGTCCAAGCAGCTGTAAAAATGGTTTGGTTAATCTGTACTGCTGAGCCCTTTCTGTGTTTGGTTCATCGAACCGTCGTAAATATGATTGGAAGGACTTCAATCGTTCCGAGGAGCTCGTTGAAGGTGTCAGCCAGCCGACGCTCACTCTTTACATAAATCCTCAAGCAACCCCAGCATCCGTCGTTGCAATTCAACCAGTTCAGATTTAGTCACTTTACCAGCATTCAATCCATCGATCTCAGACGGGCGATCCGACTCAACGACAAGACTCTGCTTCAGGGCAAAGAAAGGAATATCCAAGCCTCGCAGTTCCGAGACGAGCGCCGTAGCCATTTTCGCCGAGACTTTGTAGACCTTGGCATCGTAGATGTCCAGTTCGGCTTTTTCATCTTGAGCTGTCTGAAAAAGTGAGAGGTGAATTGTTAATGACGGATCTGTGATTGGCAGATAGCCTCCGCATGGACTGTGCCTACCGATATGTCCTTTTGATCAACGGGTGCGCCGATGGATCGTCTGTCAACAAGTAAGTTAGTGATGATACAATTTTGGGTGTTGATTAAGAGAGTGACGGGCTGTTTGATACATACAATACTGCGTCGAGCTCTTTTTTCTTCTCCCCGCGGGACTGTTGCCTCGATATTAATGCCTCGCGACTCTTCCACCACTGCCGCTCGTGGCTATGTTGGCTGTGGATAAGGCCGCGGATGCGAAGTTGGGTTTCTTCATTTTGGCCGACTGACCGCATCACATGGCGGAGTGCGGCGGGCCAGGTGGTGATGGTTGATGCGTCTGTAGTTGAGGTGGATGGTTTGGGTGAATTGGAATGTGGGCGTGGAGCGGAATGGAGCTCTTTTGGTCGCTGTTGCCTTTGCTGGGGTGTTTCTGATCGACTGGGTGGTGTCGATGTATTCTGAGATGATTGCTGTTGCGACGCTAGACCCGATAGTGTTTTGAGGACCGAGTCTAGGTCGGAGCTATTGTAGGGATACTCCATGGTTGGGGGAAGAAATACAAAGAAGGGGGAGAATGTATGTAGAAGACACCCTGTGTATGTGTAGATGTTCAGAGTGGTTGCAGAATGGGTGTTTCTCTATGGAATAAGGGCTGTGGAGTAACTCAGATGCACCTTACGGTGCCTTGAAGGTATATGAAGTGGTCTGGTTGAAGCTGTCCGAATGTCTTGGCGCATCTCCCGCTGAAAATTTACCTTCAACAAGTTTCCACCTGCCCATCAAATCCACCGTCCTTCCCACCCATCATTCCACCTTAACTACCGGCCCTAGAGCCAGATCCACTCGCATTGACAAACCTTCCTCTCTCGACTTCTCATCCATCCCATCGTCAGCCGCCCTTGTTAGGGGGGAATTCACCTTCACATCAGACCACCGCCGTCATGTCCCGATCCGCCGCGGACGCAACGCGATTCACAGCAACAGGCCCCTACGCCAGTTCCAAACCCGGCGGCGCGCCCTACGAACTGCCTACCTTCATGCAGAAAGACAATGCCGCGACCGGCAAGCCTACGGGCCAGACACCGCAGCGCGGACCAGATGGACAACCCGAGACGCCGAAGCAGAAGGTCGAGCGGCTGCGAGCGCAGGCTCGGGCTGCCCGGGTCGCGCAGTCGTCGTCGGGCTCGGATCGTTTAATTGAATTTGGGCGGAAGTTCGCCAATAAGGCGCACAAGGGAATGGTTTACTCACTCATTGTTGCTTCGGGTATGTGTGGCTGTCTGATCTAGGACGTGGACGTGGACGCGGAGGTGACGGGTGTGGTTCTGCCAACCGGCATGAACCAGCCGTGCTATTCTCCGTGATCTACGTGGATGCGAGTCGTCGTGTGATATGGCATTGAACCCGGACTAACGTGCGGCTTCTAGGTGTTTGCGGTGTCCTCACAGTCTACTCGATGGTCTCGCTGACCATGTATAACCGCCGCCAACGCACACTCTGGATCGAAAAGGAACTCGCCGTTCTAAGCGCCGCCCGCACCGCCCATGCCAACGGCACCGCTACCGAGGACCAAATCGAACTGATTAAGAAGGAGGATATCGCGGAAATCATTAAGCAGAAGCGTGCGGAGGAGAAGGCCCAGAAGCCTTGGGCTAAGGCGAAGCGATTCCTCTTCGAGAAGATGAATATGGAAGATACTGCCGCGCAGGTCCCCTCACACGCATCTTCCGAAGTTGAGGCTATGCAGCCAGGTGTTTGGGATGCTCTGCAGGCGAAGCAGGCCGCGGATGCCGCCGCTGCAAAGGCCAACGCCCCGGTGCCGGGTCAATTGGATGTGATGGCTGAGAACGCGGAGCAGGCTGCGAAGGCAACAACGCGCAGTTGGACTAACCGGTTGACCTTTGGCTTGGTGCGGTAGGACCGAGGAGATTCTTCTGGAAGAAACCTGGGGTCGGATTCGGGACGATGGAAAAGACGACAATGAACAAGACCTACCGTCGCATCCTTATAATCATGTCCCAGCCGTGGACGTCACTGTCACTGTCGCTGCCTGCCACTGTACCGTCGTGTCATCGGGGGGATTCACCTACCGGTCCCAGTCCTCGTCCCAGGCCACTCCGACTCCCACCTCCATTCCACAGTCATCCGAGTTCTTGAATAATCTTGCATGGCATGTTACGAGCTCCCTCGCAGCGTGCTTTCATCGTGACAGGGGGGTTCCGGCGTTGCATTTGTCCTTCAGTGTTGTTCTTTTGCCGTTTTTCCCTTTGACTTTACTTTTCCTTTCCTTTCCTTTCCTTTCATTCCTCTCTCTTCTCACCGAGGCTGTGTTCCTATCTGATTCAGGTGCTCTCCCTAACCGAAAAAAAGTCCAAAGGACTCGGAAGAGACACCCGTGTATATTGTGTACAGTACATAGAAAAAAACCTGCTCTTTAAGTTTCTCCACCTCCACCCACGAGTGCAACATAACAAAGAGACACAAAACCAGCGAGTCCCCACCACGTAACAGTCCAATAAAAAGATGATTCAAAATAAATAAAATCAAATTAAAGAACCAGTGAAGGGCAAAAAGGTCCTCCCTTGTCCCCACCGCTAATCCCAAGAGGGTCGCCCGATACCGAGTCGGGAAATGCCCGGCGGAAGAGCGCTTTGCCCTCGCCATTCCCTCGCCCAGTCCATTCCCCCAACGCGCCCCGGTGGAGCGAGGGGTCGATTGAAGATCCTGTGGAAACTCTGGTCCCGGGAGCTTGAAGCTGTGACTTTAATTCTGGTCTGACGGTGGGTCCGGGGTGTTTGTGTCTGGGGTAAGTATACGTTGATCTACAGGTGGGGTGGTGGTGGGAGGAGCATACACAAGCACACAAGGGCGAGAAGTTGAGAAGGGAAAATCTTAAGCACCTGCATTTTGGAGAACACTACTAAGTAGGAAACGCTGCACATACAAGAATAAGCGAAAAGCAAAACTACCAGATATCTATGCCTCTCTCTTCTCAATTTCAAAATAGACAGAATAAGAAATGATTTTTTATCTCGGAAAGGATTCAACCCGGGAAATGAACAAAGGAAAAATAGACAGAGAGATACATCACAACCAACAGACACACACACAAACAAACAAACACACCTAGTTACCATTCGCCTTGGACTTAATCACCTCACGACGAGCACGAACACCATCAGCCAAATCATGCAGCGTCTCAACAGTCATCTCCCAGTTAATACAAGCATCGGTAATAGAAACACCCTTGAGCAAATGCGAAGGTCCCTCGGGGGGTACCTTCTGGTTACCCTCATAGATATTCGACTCAATCATAACGCCAATAATGCCCGTCTCACCCTCGCGCAACTGATCACTAACCTCCTTCGCCACAAGCGGCTGGTTAAGGTGGTTCTTCTTCGAATTCCCATGCGAGCAGTCCACCATCAGCACCTCGCGCTGCTTCTTCGCGCGCAACGCCTCGCGCGCAATGCGGATGTTCTCGCGGTCGTAGTTCGTGCCCCGGTTACCGCCGCGCAGGATCACGAAGCCGTGCTCGTTACCGGCGGTCTTGGTGATGGCAGCGAGACCCTGCTTCGTGACGCCGAGGAAGCGATGCGGGTGTGCGGCTGCGCCAATGGCGTCGATTGCGACGGTGAGATTGCCGTCTGTGCCGTTCTTGTAGCCGATTGGGAAGGAGAGGCCTGAGGCGAGTTCGCGGTGGAGCTGGGACTCAGTTGTGCGGGCGCCGATGGCGCCAAGCGAGATTAGGTCTGCCATGTACTGGGGGGAAATGGTGTCGAGCATTTCCGAGGCGATGGGGAGGCCGGTGCTGGTTAGGTCGACGTAGAGTTTGCGGCTGACGCGGAGGCCTTTGTTGATGTTGTAGGACTCGTCGATGTCGGGATCGTTGATTAGGCCCTTCCAGCCGACGGTTGTGCGGGGCTTCTCGAGGTAGGCGCGCATGATTATGCAGAGGTCCTTGGAGAGTTTGGTGGAGAGTTCCTTTAGGCGGCGGGCGTACTCGAGGGCTGTGTCTGGGTCGTGGATTGAGCAGGGGCCGACGACGACGAGGAGGCGGTCGTCGCGTTGCTCGATGATCTCGACGGCGTCATTGCGGCCTTGGCGGACGGCTTTGATGGCGCGCTCGGGCTGGAGGGAATTGTTAGTTTTGGTTTTGCTGTTGGGTTTGGTGATGGTGGGGGGAAAAAAATGACTCACGGCGGGGATCTCGGTTTGGAGGAACTGAGGCTGCAGGAGAGGGTCGTAGCCGAGGACTAGGATGGTTAGTAGGGGAAATCATAGGATGAAACGAGGAGCAGAGGAGGAATTGAATAAAATAAAATTATAGAAATCATGCAATGGGTGTATTATAGGGAGCAATTCATGAATACTTACCGCGAGTGTCCTCGTTAACTTCGGTGGTGTTGACAAGAGGCATTGCGCAGAGAGACTGTGCTAGAGCAGGGGAGAATGGTTAGGAGGAGAGAAAGGTAGAATTGAAGGAGAAGAAGAAGACGAAGTCAACTTACCAGAGCAGGCGAAATATAAATGCAAAACTTGAAGTGGGTGACGAGGCAAGAGAGAAAGGAAAAGAAGAAAGTTGGTGGAGGGCAAAATACGCTAAATTTAAGTGGGGGACAGCGGAGACCTACTACTAGTAGGGTGATGAGATGTATACTACAGGTACCCAGGTATATGTATACTAGTAGTCGTACTAGTATACATAATACTAGTATGCTGATACTACTAATACTAATACTAGTATTATTATTCAATAATACAAATCAGATTCACCAGATGATAGATCGCCTGCAGACAAACTATTTGCCCACATTGACCCCTCGGAGATACACAGCCAATCAGAGCCCGCATAATTATATAGACCGATGCTGTGGCTAGGCACTGACTACAGCATGTGTCACCATACGAGTTCCTCTCTGGGTCACCCTCCAGCTAAGCCAGTATTCTAGTCCAGCTAGTTCAGTCCAGCTGAGATCAGATCCTCCATGCAGCTGCATTGCATACGTTGCCCGTACAGAGTGGTACACCCGATAGAGGAGAATTCTTTATTGTTGAAAGACACCTGGGCATAATTTAGTAGTAGTACTTACAGTAATAATTATAGTAATACTTACTATATGATTGACCTGATCGGATTCAATACAATGTACTATATCTATTACACATACGGAGTATAACTATTACTACTACTACTAGTAGTAGTAGAGTAGTAATGCTGTTCTATACTATGCTGTACTCAGCTTACTACTCAGTACTTTCTCCCACGGCAACCGGCTCCACCTCCCCTTCTCCGTCTCCATCTCTGTGCTCCTCCACCTCCGAACTTCTTCCGCCCTTACTTCCCATGAGCTCACTCATTCAGAGGATGGCGCATCCTCCCTGACTCTCCCTCTACCATTCATCATGTTCCGTACCCAATCTCTTAAACGCTCCCGCGACGATGTCGGCGACCTGCAACCCCTTGGTCCCAAGGTACGCACTATCTACTCCATACTCTTTCGCGACTTCACGCGTCAAAGACCACCACCTCGCCCACCCCATCTTACATGCAGCGTCGCTGACCCAATCTGATAGAAAATCCGCCCGTGGCATGGCCCTGCGCCCAATGCTGTTTCCCTCCCCGTCCCCGAATCAGCCGACATCGATCAAGCTCTTCGATTTCGCGCTCCGACCCTAACCCCCATCGACTCATCGGACGAGGAAGATGTTCAAAATACCAATAATCACGGAGTGTACACCTCAACAAAAGTGTTCCGCCCTAAACCCTCGGCCCTGCACTTGGATTTGAACGCGAACCTAAATCAAGCCCCGACAAAGCTCCTCCTGTCCGGCGACGACCTCTCCCCATGGCAACAAGCCTACGCCTCGAACCACAACCACCCATCCCCCATCCCCCACGCTCTCGTGAACCACTCCCTCGACATAAACGACTCGGTCCTCACAGCCCCAGGCTTCGGCCACGATGACTTCGAGCCAACACCATCCATAACCCCCGCCCTCTCATCCATGCTCCAACCCGACACCCTCATGGAAATAGAAGACATCGCCCCCTTCCACAAAGAAACCCCGACAATCAGGCTCCCAAGTCCAGTCAGCGATACCGACATGGCAATGGCCGACATGGACCCGGGTTACCCCTACCCATACCCCACCCGCGTGCCCACGCCAGGCCTCGACTACGGAAACGTGTCGCCGCAGCCGGTAGCAGCACACCCCATGTCGCGGAGTACCTCCAGTCAATCAGCCACGCGCACGCCCAGCCCGTGTCCTATTCCGCACCGTCGCTCCGCGCTGGTCATGGGTTATCGTGCCGATTGCGATAAATGTCGGTGCAAAGTTCCTGGCCATTACAGCCATATCATTCAGCGGGCTTGATGGGTTGTGCGAGACATGAGACACCGAGGTGCATTTGACTCGATTTTATGGGTCAGCTGAACGACTGTGATGACTACCGCTACTCGCTTACATTTTCTTTTTTGTTTTTGTCTCCTCTTTGATTTCACTTTATTTTATATTTCCTAGGGTCGATGGTTCGCTTTTTGCTCTCTTATATTGCGCTGTATAACATAGCCTTATATTTGCTTTCGTCGCTTTATACGCACACTGCGAAATCGTGTGGTGGGATTTTCCGCGATTGGCGTTTTGAATTTGAATATGAATACCATGGGTGGGATGGATGGATGGGAGTTTGCCCTGGATGGACTTGCCATTGGATCACAATAGGTTCCTTTTGTTCGTTTCTGATTTGCTCTGTTTTGCTTCTGCTTTTTTCTTAATATGGTCTGCTAGTACTGTATACTAGTAAGTTCACATGTCTAGCTGGGGCACAACTTAAATATAATAAAAACTTGAATCAACATAAATATGACAGTGAAGCCACTACGTAAGTTCAAATATAGTAGTTAGTATACACCTACTACCTACCTAGGTAGTTACTAGTAGTAGTATTCCATTCCAACTTGAAAGTTTTCACCCAATCAAAACCGCGACCGCCTAAATTCCGACGGCGACACAGCCTGTCAAAGCCTCTAAATACGCTCTCAGTCCCCGCCGCTGGCCAAACCATGGTCACAAGATGCAAGTCGGCTGCATCGGTCGAGGTTCGTCTCAGAATTTTCCGCCTTGTCTCACTACGTTCAAGCGGGTGCAATTGTAATTTGCGATGATAATGAACCAGACGAAGGGCACGCAGAGGAGAGACATTTAGAAGTTCGATAGAATTAGCACAAGCTCAGAGTGTGGGCCGTAATGCTCCTCATTTAGATAACCGCGTCCCATGTCCTACTTGACCCTTGACCCCCTAAGCATTCAACACTTCTCATCCCAAGTCGGTTAACAAGTCCTGCATGATTGGGTTATTCACATAAATCGCATCATTGTGGTATTCAATGTCCCCTGGCAGTTCTATTTTAATCAAAGCCTGGAGGAAGATGCGATCAAGATATCCGTGTTGACGAATGGACCAGCGTTAGGAGATGTAGCCGTGAAAGTGGTTCCAGGCGAAGCAGTTGTAAACTGAAGTTTTGCTTTGTTATCAGGATTCAAATTTCAAGTAAGTTTACTCGGGGAAGGGGTGAAGATAATTCGGTCACTGAATGGAAGTTCAAATTGAAGGTGCATTGGGATATCATCCTAGGTCTCGAAACCTTTCCTTCAAGCATGGGAATGGATGATTAGAACCGGCACAAATGCCGGGAAAGAAAGTAGTATTCAACACTCAAAGCAGTGGCCTGTCATCTCCTCCTCTCCCGGTTTGCTTTTGACATAGGCTGACATCATCTCTCTGAAAGTCTCAGGAACTCGACGAAGAACTATCAATCAGTCTTTGTTCAAATCCCCCCACGCTGAGATGCATCAGCAAAAGCCGTGCAACCTACCAGTCAGCCCGGACCCTTCATTCCCATATATTGTTCGGCTCGAAGAATGTCCCTTTGACAACAGTTTGTAGCCAGAAGCCGTCGGGCAGGAGCCAGTCGAATGCGGGTAACGTGTTTCAAGATCACTAAGATCAGAAGTAGCGTGTGAGCAAGAGCCAGGTTGTTGGTCTCAAACAGAGAGACTCACTAATTCAGAAGATAAATCAATCTGACGATCAGCTCTGGAAGAAGGGGTTTTCCTTGAACATCTTCGAAGAAACTAACATGTGCTCTTCCTCGCGGTTTTGTTACAATTTCTTGCGACGACATCATACCATAATGTGGTCGCTAGCATTGAAACCCTTGCTGGCAGGATGGAAACCTCTCCAAGCACGAGGTAGCCAAGGTTAGGTCCTAGCGGAACAGCTGTTCCTCTGTTTTTGGCCCCGATTACTTCAAGGGAATGGTCTTTCGGAAGTATGGCGAAGTTTCCGCATGATAGGCTCGAAACTGGGTAAGGAAATTAGTTCACCTGATCGGTCTGCCCAGCGATAGGACTGGTGACAAATGAGGGTTCCACGTTGGCGTCTCTGTCGCTCGGCATAACCGTGCACCCTCCACGAGTTTGTTCAAATTCGGTGCTTCCATTTTGATGTGCATCGATTCGGCTACTCGTCCGAGAAATTTTCAGCAATAAGCGTGCATCAAGTGCCCAGCGCGACGAAAGTCCTGCTGCCTGGACATTGCACACCTTGCTGGAGTACCGTTGGAGAGGGTCGAGTCAGGAACAAGAGCCACCGGACTGTTGTAAGTGCCACGGTTTGTGGCCGACCAGTCGAATGGCGCCAAAGGTTGTGATCGCAGAATGGGAGGAGGCGAGGGCGAGAAGGAATTGACGCCGTGATCTATATTCCCTATCATAATGCGAGCCAGTAGTCGGCCACTCTCAAGCGGGTCGGCGTTTGGCTTGTACCGAAATACCCATTTGTAGCAGGGTCAAGGTCGGATCGATTGACACCGTCGAGAAAAATGTCGTTTATAACGTCATAGGCGTGCGAGTCTTTTCCTTTTCAAAAATTAGGATACGCCAGAATCCCCCCCCGTGATACGTCGATAGGCCGAGCAGTGGCCCGCGTTAGAGTTGATCTGACATGAATCGCCAGTTGACTAGGCTATCTGTTACCGGGGATGATCTCGTGAGAGATCTTCTGCCGTATTCAGTTTTCAAAGTAATGTGAGATGGAAACCAGGAAGTGGTGCATACATGCGGGTATTGAGGAGAGAAGAGAGGGAGGGTGGCCGGGAGGCAAGATGCGAGTGCTTGATGTGGAGCCTGAGGCTGCACGCGTAAACAAACCCTGGGAAGCGGCAGTCAAACAGACCCTTCCTCTCAAGACGGTAGTAGTATCGGGTGATCCACGGGAGGGCCATTTCAATCTCCTGCAAAATGTCGATGCTCTACTTAGGAAGTGTAATTTTGACATGGAGCTCAGCCCGGTTGTTCATTTGCGGAAATGCGATATCGTGGTGGTGATAGGAAGCATTTGAAACCTTCGCCTCCGGCGTAGCAGCAGATTCGAAAGCATATGCGCTCGATTACTTCACGAAGCAGCGAATATTTCTTGAATTAAACCATAAAGAGACATCGTAAGCGATAGCAGGTAGACTGATCCGGTATGTGGTCTTCTGAATGAAAGGAATACGCTGGAATTCTGATCGGCAAGCTGGGAGTCACTCATCAGATAGATTGTAGAACGAGCAACATGATTGAATTTATTAAGTGGACTGAGAGCCAAGGGTAGCCCGTATGGTAAAGGAGCTAGGTGTTCAAGTTGTACTTGAACATGCACCGTTAACCTACAAAATTACTAGTGCCCGTGGAGTAAGGGGAGATTCCAACGTTAGTGGGACTCTATCAGCTTCAATGTTGATTCAAAGACAATTGAGGAAAACCAAACAGCAGGTGGCTTCAGCCATCAATGGAATATCCAAATCTGAATGATACCTAGGTAGCCAGCCGCAAATAGTACCGTTCGGACTAATGGGCCAGAATATATTGTATGGCAGACTCCCCTCACATAACGGTTCTTATGAGATCCGCAAGACCAAAACGGAAGCGTCAAAAGCACACTATTACAGTGTATCATTCAGACTCCAAAGGTCGTCACGTTCGTATCTCAACTCCTACGCCCTCGGCATATCATTTGCCAATTGTGGAGCGCTGATGGTAAAAACAATATCATTCATGCGACGCATCTTCTTCTAATAGCCGAGCTAGGTATGAGATATGAATCTTCGCATGTTTCCAATATCATAGAATAGGCAGATGAGAATATCTCTTTTAAACCGATTCGTTGTAGTGGACATCAACATTGAAAGCTATAGTCGTCTTCATGAGAAGGCTGAAGCACACCCTTGTCTGACTTTCTCGCCTGGATGATTTCTCCCTTACAGTCAGCGGTGTTCTTGGCCGTATTTTGTTGAATTCAGACCACACCTTTAGCGCCAAGCTGCTCAACCAACATGATCTACATCGCCTGATTTTCAGCAGGGTTGACTATTGAACGTTCATCATTTGGTAAATCAATTGAAGTTTTCCGAGAATCCGATATTACTGAGGGTGGCAGTGGGACTTTTTGGCCGGAGCCAGTTGAAGCCTGGGTAAAATAAATTTGGAAGTAGAACCTTGGAAGGCATGAGGACCCGCTCATCTGCTTGCTGATATCATTCGTCGTTTGAATGGTTACCCGACAGGACCATTTTCAATCTACTTGATACCTCAACTGTGTGATACGATCCTTGGATATTGGCTTAATTTAACGCAATATACAAATCCGAGCCCTACGATTTAGTGGAGTCTTCAACAACCAAATAAAAATATAGGGGAGAGTTTAAAGACCGACGGCACAATAACTACTACGTCGGGCAGCCTGTAGTAGCAGGCACCGGAAGGATAAGAATTAGATACCCAGAAAAGGAGGAAAGGAACACGAATTAGGTACAGATAAGCGGGGGCAAGAACACGCTACGTAGTTCGGGACAGGCAGGCAAGAAAACAAACCGAAGAAGAGAAAAATCCTCTGACAAATGCAGTAGCTTTGTTACTTACAGAAAGCTGATGAGCAAGCAGTATCATTGACATAATATCAGACATGATAGGAAAGAGGAGTCGGGCTAGTCTTACCGTATGGGAGGGCCAGGAGGTAGCTCCTCGAGCCTCTCGAGCTGGTTCGAAGTGACTTGACATCGCTCCACGTAAGCCGTTTTCACGAGTTTGCGAGCAAGTCTGGTATAAATCGAGCAATGTGAGAGAACGGAGAGCGCTTCATTGGATTCCCGACTGGAAGAAACCACGCCCAATTCGGAGTCACCCTCATAAAAGTGATAAATGAGCCGGAAGGCAGAGTTCAAAGATCTCTCCTTGCGCTGATCTCGGGTCAGCTGCCGGTCTCCATCTGACTTTTCATAGTTGGGATTGAGCTCATGGACGATATCACTCAGGCTCCGGCCGACAAAAACGTCAATTTCGAGACGTTTGAGCGTCTCGCAGATCCTGCGATAGTTATTCATTCGCGTTGAGATTTTGCCGAAGATCTCCCCAAATCCATCCCCGAGGGAAGTATTGATTAGCCCGAAGAAGAGGATTTCGGTGTCGAGCATGAGCACCTGGGCCGTCGTGCCTGGGGTAGGGAACCATCGGGTTCTGACCAGCCTTGTAATGAATGGGATCTTGTCTAGGTCGACCAAGTACTCCCTGTTCACGATGCGAATCATGATCATAGTTTCCGCGTTTGTGTTGTTCATCTATAGGTGAAAGCACATGGCCTAGTGTTTGTCAAAATATCTGGTATTTCACCTTTGCGTGCCGAAAGGAACAAATGGAACGGGATAGTGTTCTGTCTTTCAATCCCCTCGTGAGAAATCCAGCTACGACGATAGAAGGAGAAGGAGCTGTTAAGATCTAATAGGAAAACACTACATAGGAGAAGAAAAGGAAAATCCAAAGACGGAGGGACTTGATCCGATACACGTGAACGAAGCGTGCAAAGTTAACAAACATGCAGTTCACTAGACTCCAGGACGCTTCATATACTGATATTTAGCGCTTATGAGCAGACATTTCATTGGGTAGGATAATCTCAATACATGACTACTCCTATACTGATCTGCCACTCTTCATAGCTCCTAAGGCTGTGCTGAGTCGTCCTTTCCGCGCCTTCCCACGTTGGCGTGTTTGCCTCACTCCGCAGGCGCTCCTTCCTCTTTTTACTTCTCAACTTGAACATCCTCTCATCTTTCTCTTAGTCTCACACTCTCCCTATTCTGATCACATCATGGATGATCTTATGCTTGACCTTTTGTTTGACCCAGACGAAATATCTCCGTGGTCGTTACTGTGGCCGTCATGCCTTTTATGTGGCGCCGTAATTCGCCCTGCTCATTGTAGCGTTTCTTCCACGGCATATCAGAGGACTGTAGGCAGGCAGCTCCATCAAAAGAATGACCAGGAACATAAGCAAGTTGTTATTTCCGCAAAAAAGGTCGAGGAAGAGTACCTTTCCGATTGCCCATCACTCGGAGCATCCACGTTCCGAGCCAGTGAGTCGCCCACCAAAACAATCCCCTTGATCCTCGACATATCAATACTAACTCTATTCTACCAATAGTCATGATCGATGTGGATGGGCAGTTTCACTTGACCGGTATCTGCATTGCTGGCTGGAGCTGCAACGACATGAGAAACTTCGCCGTTCTTCCAAGAGACATGTCCATTGCACGCATCGGCGCAAGCAGCCCGGACTTTTCATTCCATCCAGCACCTTGTGAGCCGGGATTCACACGCTTTCGACCCCTGGGGGTGAAAGATGCGCCACCCAAGCAGCCGCCATCTTCCCCAACTGGGTACTTGCTCCATGCACATTGCTGGATGCTCCTGGGTCGAGTCTGCGAGCGGAAGAAAGCGACATTGGAACTCCTCGATTTGGGCCGAGTTGTGCGCGCAGCAACGGCACTACGGACAACAGAACCCAATGCTTGGTACATGGCCGGCGGTTATGGTCATGGCAATCCTCTCGTCATCCCCCGGATTCGGAGTGCAATTTCTCTCGCCGAAAGGACCGTCACACGGACAAGATGTGCCAAAAGCTCTGCGCTCAAGGCGATACAGTCGACACTTTCAATGGAATCGAGCCACCCGATGAACACTCTGCCCCTCGATATCGCCGTTATGATTGCTGAACTGCTCTGCCCTGTTGTTTACCACGAATATCAAGCCGCGACGCTCAGGGACTTTCTTTCTATCTTTCAGTGGACACTGCCCGAGTGTTTTTGGCGGAGTCGAGTGGACGAGGGATTGTTCTTTGAACTGGAGGACCTCCGGAAGTCCGATATCAATACTAGTATCGACTGGCAAGCTCTGCGATTAGAACTGATGCAAATTTACGGATACAGATTACGCTATCGAACTGGATGGGCAATTCGAATTCAGGTACTTGGAACGTTGATAAAGTTGCTGGCTGCCTATCTAGAAGACAAGGAAGAGCAAGCGCCAGGCCACAAGCTTTTACTTTGAGTGCTTGCTCACTCTTACGGGCATGCAACCCAATGTCCGCCACAGCTGAAGATGTAGTTGAGAAATGGAGCACAAATGAGTAATCCCGTGGGTTCGTGTTGGCCATTCTCTATGATCATAGGGACTGGTTTTCGCCACGGTTGATAAGGCCCGGTGCGAGGGCACAGTATGTAGAGATCGATTGGTCAAATAAGACCGTTATCTTCGACATATCATATGAATTCAAATCAAACTAATTTCAATCAAACTTCCCCTCACAACCATTCGGATCTGCCACTTTCAGCCATATTGTCGTGAGAATATGGAGAGTGCGAGATTTTTCCAGGGTAAAGTAACCGATAGTCGGTATTGAGAGGATACTTCTGAGATGTGGAAGAATGTTTGTTCCAAGGTTTGTGGGAGGAGAGTAGAGTTTAATTGCCTCAGGCACCCGATCGTCCCTTCCCTTTCATGGTTAATGAATCCCATGCCAGTGGTTCCTCATGGGATTTCCATTCACCGGTATATAAGTCCCATAAGCTCTTGACAAGGGACGCGGTTAAAACGTGATTCCTATAATATTTCCATTGGAATCTACTTGGTATAGTTATCAGGCTAGGTTTAAAAATTCCAAGGTTGTACATAATTGTGGTAATTTAAGCCGGTTTGAATTATGTTCATTGATTTGTGGGGTGGCAATTGTCAAAGCGATGAAACTAACATTCTACTCTGCATTATTAATACTGTGGTACTACAAGTATATCAATCAAATCATTTCAATCAGCTCTCTAGTCAATTAAGTCTTGGAAATTCCTCACTAATCACCCCGTATAAGTACTGTGGAGATATAAGAATAGTAGGTCTGAGATTTGGAAGCGAAACAAACAATCACTAGTAGTTAAGTGCCTCTGGTATGACAAGAACCTTGGAAGAAGGTCTGTGGTTCAATGAAGGTAGTGGAATGATTTACTTGTGCCTATCCATTCTAATAACCTTTGGTCAGAACTATATGTCAGAACTAGATCAAAAAGCTTTCAAATAAAGAATGTCCAAAAGAGTACTATTAGGTAGTGAGACAATCATCAAAGGGGCTGAACTTGATAGATACAAGTACTAGTACAATGAAAATGTATCAACCCTGGAGTCCATGGATTATGAATATAATCACATCCATTATACATGCCCATAGAACCTCTAAAAGGAAGATCGAATGTTTCATAGAATTAATAGGGAACGAATGCCCGAAGTCATAGGTCCTGCCAGGGCCTTTACGAGGTAAACCGTGCTGCTGGGCGAATATATCATCTCTGAGCTGCGTCTCAAGGCAGAATCCTAGGCCACGAAACCTTTGAAATCATTATCTAGGTAGACACTACTTATACTGAGACGGTTGCCGTTATATCGCGTCGTAATAGTATTTTCCCAATCACGCCCCGCCACCCCCCGCAACCCCAACGCCCGCACCAAGGACCGCGACATTCCCACCCGCCATACGTCTGCGATTGTGCTTCCGGCTCCAATCCGCATACTCCTTCTTGGATTTCTGGTATGCATCGTAGTCAAGAAGATATTGGTTGTAGTTGTTGTATTGGCCGCGGCGTGGTGGAAAGAGTCCGGGCTTCGCGGGCTTGGGGGAGCTGAGGCCGAAGCACATGTTGTTCGGGGTATGAGAACTTGGAAATAATCCTGGATATTTGGAACTTTGAGTGAAATAAATCTAAATCGAGAGTAGAGGTTCAAAGTTTGCAGATGGAATTAAAAATTCGCATGGGGGATGGAGGATTATATGAACTTCAACGGCCCCACTGACTGCACTGCCTCGATCCTTCTTGGTCTTCTTGGGGCGCTCAGGTGGGGGCCAGATCTGCCGCGTATAGTTGAAAGTGGAAGAGAGGCTGCTAGTATGCTTTAGGTAAAGAGGAAGTAAACTAGAACTCTCGATAGAGAACTGTTGCGATCGAAGTTTTTCACTTATTCGAATCAGATAATGATATTGGTGAAGATTCATGATAAGAAGCATTGATAAAACACATAGTAACAGACCTGAAAGAATCAGACCCAGCACAAATTCGCGAGGATCATTCCGGATTACCCCCATAAAAGCAAAGATAGAAGAAAATATCAATAACAGTCGTCGTAAATGAGCCACTTGATCCCCTTGGTGGTCCGCGTGTCTCCGTAGACAGTGTTTAAAACTGCTCCGCGGCAAAAACAGCCAGCGCGTGAGCTTTTTCGTTCATCTCCTTGTTCACCAGCCAGAACTCGACCGTGGTTTTGTTTCCTAGCTCCTCGATCATACTGTCAATCAGTCGCCAGGTACTTTCGTTCGCGACGGCCTGACCCTTACAGTTCTTCCAGCCATTGCTCTTCCACTTCGGCAACCATTCCGTAACACCCTTGACAAGATACTCGGAATCAGACTTGATGACAAGGGTGTGTAAAGGCCAAGACTTCTTCTTCCCATTGATGTCGGCGGCCTTTTCCGACTTCCACATCATTTGAAGCATCAAGGTACGAGCCAATGCCGCCGAGCACGCCTTCAGCGAAGCAACCTGGGCCGTGGGGTGTTCCTCTTCGAAAGTGCTGGCAAAGTTATGCAGATTTTCATGCCCGTAGAAGACTGCGATCGAGATTTTCTTGTTCACCTGCGGGATGTTTGGGTGTATACTGTCGATGGCGACGACGATGCAGTCAACGTGTCCCGGGTGGTTCTTGCAATCCTCGCAGATAACGGGGGAATCTGGACAGGCGAGATAAGTCCAGTTGCCGACTTTGGCTTCGACTTCAAACATGGAGAAGTTCTTTGGATATCTTTCGACCATGAATCGACGATCATGCGAGGTAGGAGTGGGCTTGCTTTCCAAGGAGATGGAGTCCACGGCAGCTTCCAGCTTGGGCATTTCCAGGGCTGGGAAGGTGCCGGTGCCATGGACTGAGACAGGATGGTTTGCCAGATGGGAGGGCAGTTTAGCCTGGAGAGGGTTGGGTGAGCTTTTGATTTGATATTATGGATCCTGAGATTGGGACTCGTTGCTTACTCCGACACAGTGGGAGTACAGGCCGAAATTGTTTGACTTGCGAAGAGTTCGCCTTCTGGTAGTGCGGGACGGAGGAGGATGCATGTTGGGTTGAGTTGGAGGAATTAGAACAGGCAGCATGGGTGACGGTGGAAGACAGAGTTGAGGGGAGATATGGGGGAGAGGAGGTTTTAATGAAAGGAACCTGGAAAAGAAAGAGAAATGGAAATAGAGAGAAGGGAGACCAAGAGGGAAGGAACGAGTGGCAGCATAGCCCATCGCTCTTTCCTTGAATGAATTCCGTGGAGTTAACTTTAGTCTTACTAACCACTAGTACTATGCTATACTACAAGTATCAAAGAGCATCATGTTCATATACTGTACCCCGTTCTTTGTTATCTTCTTTGACAAACTGTGTTATTTGAGTAACGCTAAGTAATGATCCCTCCGCTGGGTTGGATAGGATCATGACGCTTTTCAAGTATTTAACTATTTGTCATTGATTCACCTCTATGCAAACTCTTCCATTCTATAGATATACAACTTCTTGCGGTTGGCAAAGTCTTTATCCCAGGAATAGTTCTGGTGAGCCCATGTCAAAGCATAGACCAGACCTTACTTGATCGGGTTAGTTGACAGCCCATCCAAAAAGGTGGGGGCGATTGGGGGCCAAAACTCCTGGCGCCTGCAGACCTCGGGATTCCTGAATCCATAGCCATCGTTTGACTCGAGGAGTATTGCATCCAGAGCAGTGAGACAGTACCTTCTAGTCTGAAACTCGAAAATCTTTCCCCTTTGGACTCTCCTTTTCAGCGCTCTTGGTAGATAGATACGCTCTCCCATATCGGTGCCCACGCATTCAGCTGCATCATGGCGATAATCTCAAAGGGTTGCGAGGATTGCCGGGCTAAGAAGATCCGTGTGAGTACCAAATAAGTGTTGGACTTCGTCGAGGCACTACTTATCCTGATATTTCTGCGTTTAGTGCGATCAGAAACAGCCCCATTGCGGACGTTGCACTCGTGCGGGCAAACAGTGCCGGTATCGGGATCCAAATGAGTTGATGTTCCGAGATAAAACAGAGCATACTATCAATCGCGCTCGTCGTCTAATTGCAGAGAAAGCAGCCTTGAATCAAGTCAAGCCCATGCCTTCATCGAAACTTTTTCATGGTCTGAATGCTGGCGTTCACAAGCTAGACATAATCTCCGCCCACTCCGTGCACTTACCTCCAGCCATCGATCCAGGGCGGACGATGCGCTACCAGGTTATGTCATCTTATTGCTCCGACTATTTTCCTCGTATAAAACTCACAATCGATGTTAATCCTACCCACTTCGTTTTCTTGGGCATCTTCGCCCTATCTCAAAAGAGTCATATGCTAGAGACTGCCTGTTCTGCATTGGCATACATTTTCCAAGGCAAAGTTCACCATGATGAGCATTCTCTGCAACATGGCATCCGGCTTTACAATCATGCAATTCGCCATTTAGCGAGCGCAGTGAGTCGCAAATCGGATACGGTCAAAACGCAAGATATCGTGTATACCACCGTTATTTTCCAACAGATCCAGGTGAGGGGTCCTACATCATTCAGAAAACAGTACGTGTACAACTGACCCTTTTCTAGATTCATTATTGCTCACATAGCCTTAATGAATGGCTCGCTCATATAGACGGCCTGAATGCAATTATAAGACACTACAGTTCAGCCCTCGAGGGCAAATCTTCAACACCACTACTGCATGCTTGTTGTGGAGAATATCAGAAGTTTCAGGTGGTAAGCAATAATTCAATATCTTCATCTTTGATCCAATCATTAACTTGATGGTTATTCAGGGACTCACTGGGTTCATGCATCTATCAGACGATACAATAGACTGGCTGAAGGAGCCACACAAGGGTGGCATATGGGCTGAGTATCTTGAGAGTATGGCCGAGCTTTCACGAATTGGCAAGGTTGTCAGTACTACCAATACCTCTGATCACGCTGCTTTCAAGTCTCTCCTTTCCGACTGTCTTTCTCTCGAAAAGAAATGCATGGAAATGTGGACGAAGATCAATCCCAAAAGACAACCTCCAACATACGCCCGCGGCGAACTCACAACCGGAATCGCACCCACGGATGCTTTATTTGGCCCAGCTTATCGCTTCTCCAGTCTCGATGAGGCCATATTACATTCCTTGCTCTGGATAGCCCTCTCCTTCCTCTTCCCCCTAATCCGCCAATGCCATGTCCTTTCAAAACCAAAACATGATTTCCCGGATCCCACTTCCATGGTCGACGATTTCCAGGACGAAGCACATCGCATTTCAATATCCTATGTCGCCAAGGCAGTTCGGTGTCTCCCATACAGTAGTCAAAAGGGCATGAATGCGTGGGGGTTGTCTTACGCGGTGTGGGTCGCAACTCAGGCTTCTCGTGTATACGCGCACACCAGGGATTGGGAGCGCTTTTCATGGGCGCAGAATGCTTTGTCATATTTGGAAAACCGCGGATTTGGCTTCGCTGCTCAGTTCCGTGATATGTGGGGAAAGTATTGGTTTGAAACCGATAAACACGATGCGTACAGGGTTCTGAGTTTGAGAACCCCGCCTGAAAAGTATAAAAATGATCCTAATGGAGATACAGAAAAAGGTACTACTATGCTACCATAAAATCATGATACAGCCTCGGAATCGAATTTTATTTGGAGGTCCTCAAGTTAGCCATTTCACGCACTTTCTACTAATAATAGTCCAACAGAAATTGAAAAGGAGAAACATTTAATCCCCTGGCTGTAGCCGGTGGATAAAAAGAATCCGAGCCCAGTACACTGGGTCCTAAACTAGCTCCAAACACAAGCGGTGGGTGCGTTGTACGCAGTACATTTAGTCTTTTTGACAGCCCTTGACGGGGCCAAATGAAGCAATGACATTGTTTCCGGGACCCGCTAGCCTCCACTGCGCATTTTCTTGTCTTTCGACTGGCCCTACGCCATGAATCTAACCAATTCGGCTCCATAGCGCGAGGATGCCGTTGAAACTTGTTTCCACTCATTACGTGGTATTTAAGTTCATCTATGACTGCTGGCGGGGCAGTTCTTCTCCTATTTTGACGCGAACTTCTCTCCCTCCTGGGCATACGATCGACCACTGGCACTGTACCATATTGTATAACTAAGTATTGGGACTGCCCACTATGGGATCCATAGAACACACTCGATCCATCCCAAAGCTCACGGCTATAGAACAGATCAGTCCCCGGGGCTATGCGCGCTATATCTTCCCGTTCCAAATAAGAGAGAACTGCAATGTCGACGAAATCTTCCATGTCGTTCGACAGGGGTACGATTTTCTCGCGAAACAGATCCCAGAGACGGCGTGTGAGGTAGTTCCGGATCTCGATTCATGGCAGAAGAACGTCATGAAATTACGCATGCCGAATGACGGCGAGTTTGACCTGGTCACAGCAAAGGATCTGCGAGAGCCAGGTGCTTTCCCGTATACATTCGCAGAGCTCAAGGCCAAAAGCTTCCCTCCATCCGCCTTCGAAGGAGACCTTCTCTGCCGTCGAGAAGTCTGGCCAACGCCCGATGAAAGAATACCCATTTCACTTGCGCAGTGTAATTTCATTCCCGGCGGCCTTCTTTTATCGTGGAATGTCTTCCATATGATCGGAGACGGCGGGTGCTTTTTCACATGGGCTAAGGTCTGGGCTGAAGGATGTCGGCGGGCGCAGGGTCTGAATATCGATAACCCAGTCCACCTTCCCAACGCGCTCTGGGATGATCGCGAACAGGCTATCAATCCTCCCTCTCGCTACAAGGGCAGACTGGAGGATCATCCAGAATACATCCTCTTACCATTCACGCCGACAGAAATGCCGCCGAAGATGCTGACAACGACCCACCGCGCTCAAATCTTCTACTTTTCGCCCGAATCGCTGGTCAAATTGAAGAAGGAGGCTGATCCGTCGAACGCGACCGAGCTTTCGGATCAGAAATGGATTTCTACCAACGACGCCATCTGCGCGCTGATCTGGCGAGCCATCATGGCGGCGCAATTCCCCCTGAAGAGTCCGGAAGAAGCCGGAGACGGTGAAAACAGTGGAGACAGTGAAGACAGTGATCCCATAACCAACTTTGGCATCTATATGGATGGTCGGTTACGAACGAACCCAAGGATTCACCCCGAGGCCTTGGGCTGTTTCATGACGTGCTGCGGAGCGACAGTTTCTCTCCGCAAAATGCTCGGACAGCTCAATATTGCCGATCTTTCCGTGCTCGTGCGCAAGGCTATCGTCAGCACGGAGGGGCACTCTATCTGCGATGTCGCGGCGCTTGCGAATAATCAGGAACATCCGACTCGACTTGCGCTGTCGGCGAATCTGGATCTTTCCGGGAAGAATATTTCGCTGTCGTCGTGGGTGAATTTTGATTTGTATTCTTTGGATTGGGGGGAGATACTGGGGGGGGTAGGATTGAGGCTGTGAGAATGCCGCGGATCGGGATGATTCATGGCGCTCAGGTTGTGCTGCCTGTTTTGCCGAATGGAGGGGTGGAGGTCATGGCTGGTATTGAGGGGGAGTTTTTGGAGAGACTTCTTCAGGAGCCGATTTTGAGGAGGTTTGCTGTGCCGGTGTAGATGTGAGTGATTCTTCGCTTGGAAGGTAAACCTAGGTACTCGCTGACATGCCCAGTTGGTTGTTCTCCCTGCTTCATGTCTTGTCAATGATGACCACTATTCGGATCCAATTGATCTGTGATTTGTATACTTGCTCCGAATCTGAAATTGTCAGAATCCTTACACTATTAACTTGAACTAATTGGATTGAACCCCTGAAATGATATAAATTTCTACTATTCAACTTCCAATGTTCTTTACCAGATCATCGCCCATCTGATACAACCACAACTTCATATCGAACTTGAATGATTTGATGACACTGGCGTTTTCCGATCATCGACAGACGCCGCTGCAAGAAGAGGAGCCCTGAAAAAGTGAATAGTCTAATGACAAAATGATTCTCTAGGTAATCTATTTTACAAAAGGGCAATCTATTGCAACTTGTCCGCCACCTGCTTAAGTGCAGCCTGGGCACAAGCCTCATCGAAATCTCCGCTAGGAGCACCGCCAACGCCAATAGCACCGATCGTCTCATTGCCAACCTTAATCGGCACACCTCCGGCAAGAATCAAGAAATCGTCAATTGCGACGAGCTGGGCGGCACCGGGATTCTGGATGTTCTTGACCATGGCACTGGTCACCGTACGTGCGGATGCAGCTGTATAGGCCTTGCGACGTGCCGCCTCTGGCGTGTGGATGGCTGCGCCATCGGCGCGAAGGAGGGCTCGCAGAACACCCTCGCGGTCGAGAACAGCTGCGGAAACGCTGTACTGTTGTTTGGCGCAAGCTTGGACTGCGTTCTGGGCGATCTCGACGGCGAGATTGAGAGGGATGTTTTGTTCCTGCAGGAGGTTTGAGGCAGTAGCGGTTGAGAAGGCTGCTGCGATGCAGCTAGCGAGGATCAGGAATTTGACCATTTTGGCGATGTTCGAGTTTGGGTTTGTGGTTGAGTTGGATGGTTCGTACTAGTGGGAATGAGCTGAGGCGATTTGAGGCTCCAGGGAGGTCCTGTAGTACTAGTATTGGTCTGGAATGAAGAGGCAGAAGGCAATGCGTAAAAAAATATAACTGCTCAAGACAATCGAGATACTTATATAGATATTGGTAGAGATTCAACATGGTGCAATTCACGTCACCAAGACCATTAGAGGTTCCTAATTGGGTAAGTGCCAAGTCCTTGGAAATAATCCATGGATCAAGGTATAATTAGGTTAGTCACCGTCGGCATCTTAGCAATGCCTATAGTTCTAAGTGGGGCTTTCCTTTCTCGGCTGCCGCCGCTTTTACGAGTGCGCTCAGCCTCAGGATAAGTGAGTAAACGTCAGTACGGCCTCAAACTCGGTGCTCAAATCACTCGCTCCTGTGAGGTATTCAATCACTAATGCTCATAATATGAATATCTCCATTCAAAAAAGGTGTTGCGTTATTTCTACCCACCATATGAAAAACTTGAATGGGAATGAGCAAGTTTGTTTGCTTTTTTCTTTTAGGATAACGTGGACAGAGGAGATGATTTCTACTATATCTCAAGCTAAGTTAACAACCCATTGTATTCCAACCTTGGAACAATTTGCACAAAGTCGACCGATGTAAGCAAAATGGTTGTGTTCAAGGTCAAGTTGAACAAGAAAATCAAGTAGTCAGGGGCACATAGGGAGAAAGTGTGTCGATATGGATATCAAGGACTCGTAGCAGGTGTGTCGATTTCGCAATTAAACGCATTTACACCCTCAGCCCTGGTTCTCGATTCTTCAAGTCCGTAGATCATGTGACCTTGCAGCAAAAATCGCCATTTTCCCTAATCTTGTCAGCCTATATGGATAGACATATTTCTCAGGTGCTGGAAAAGATCCTGACAAAAACTCAACCTGCAAAGCGAAGACTGTCCTTGCTGTGGGCCGGAGTGGTTCTGGATGACTCGCGGCGGACATGTCCCTGCCCCGGGCAGGGCTGGAAACTGAGCTGATTTGACTCCTTACCAACGATTATCATCTGCCCACATTGGTATTTCAAGATAACTATCGATCTCTCCTGCGGCAGCGAAGCTTTCAAACAGCAACTCAATACAGCGGTTCTGTGCGTGGAAATTAATCATGAGCCTCATGAGGAGCATCAGGGCAGTGAACCCTCATACATAGCGGCATGGGTTGTGATAGCCTACCTATTAATGTGTTTTACTAGTAGCGAGTCGGCCGCCCAAGTGGGTCGTCCAGTGCAAAAATTATAGGGATACCATACTAGATCCAAAATGAAATATCTCAGCAATAACAAATTATTTCTATTCAAATTTATGATTAGTGATTATTGGTGCTCAACCAAAGAAATATGGTTTACTTCAAAGGTTTCCTAGAATGGTTTTAGTGATATCTCAGAAATAAGACCAAAATTCAAACTCCACGGCTTTGAAGTGCCCTCCTGCCCAGGTGATTTTTGCCAAACTTGGAGATTCTGGAGATAGTATATATTCCATCAACAGGATGATAGATAGATCTGAAAGAACTTGAATCTTTTTTTTTGAACTTCCAGGCCCTGGAGATTAAGGGTACGAGAAAAATAATAAATCACTGGAAGGCAAAAATTTCAACGAATTATACAAATAAGTCAGGGTCGCTGAGATCATGATATTGAGTTGTAATTTATTGCTTTAACTATGGTGTTTCGTGCTGGCCGACCCGCTTGGGTAGCCGACCTCGGGACTCGCTATTAAAACACAGTTATAAGAAGACGAAGCTGGAAGCGGTAATTGGGGTTGGTCACAGACATTTGTGGTGCCACTGAAATGGAACTGGGGGCCAAATACCGAATGGCATACATACATACATCACCCTGAGACTAGTGTAAAATATCCCGCAGTCACATTGTGGTGGCTGACTTTTTGGCTGTTCTAATTGGGTGTCTAGTAAGCTGATGGTTACAATTGCTCGGGAGTATTTTGTTTCAGGCATTCTTACTGCCAAGATAGATTACCTAAACCCCCTCCGTAACGTCGTTGTTTTCTTTTCTTTTTCTTTGTCTTTTTTCGTTTCTGGGCAACCCTGCATACGTGGTCAGATGACCGGCCCCTGAGCTCGCCCTGTTGAAAACAATCGAATTTCTCCGATCATTTTGCGATCTCCTTTTTTCATTCCTATTGCTACCAATGGCCGTGTCCCAGAGATCTCCCGCTACCAAGGCTCCACCTGCTAAGGGTGTCAAGGAGAACAAATTCAGAGATGGCGCGTCCGATGAGTTCGAGTTTGGTGGCTCAATTGGCGTATTGCTGCTTATGACTGGGTTCCCCCTCATAATGTGGTATATGTGGATTGGCGCAACTTACTACGATGGCAAGCTTCCCCTGCCTAAGATTGACGAGTCTTGGTCTGATTTTGGCCGTCACCTGTGCCAATTGGTCTATGAGGGTGCCTATCCTACCGCCAAGGCATGGATCATCTACTGGGTCTTTTTTATCATGGAGTCTTTGATGTACTGCTACATGCCTGGCGTTTCCAATTATGGCCGTCCCCTGCTTCATGAAAACGGAAAGAGGCTTCCCTACTACTGCTCTGCCTACTGCAGTTTCTATGCGACACTTGCAATTGTTGGTGCCTTGCATTGGTCCGGCTTGTTTCCTCTGTATACCTTGATTGACGAATTCGGACCTATCATGACTGTCTCTATCCTGTCTGGCTTCCTGAACAGCTTCATCGTGTACTTCCAGGCTATTGTACGCGGGCGGACCCACAGAATGTCGGGCTCTCCCATCTATGATTTCTTTATGGGTGCCGAGTTGAACCCACGCATTGGTATCTTGGACTTCAAGATGTTTTACGAAGTCAGGATTCCCTGGTTTATTCTATTCCTTATTACCTTGTCTGTGGCAGCTCGTCAGTACGAGACATATGGCTATGTTTCAGCCGAGGTGGTTTTCCTTGCTGGTGCCCATTACCTATATACCAATGCCTGTGCCAAGGCAGAGCAAATGATCATCACAAGTTGGTAAGTCGAGATAACCTTGGATATCCCTTCTTTGAAAAGAAAAGATTCAAGTTAGCCATTCTAATACTATTTAAACAGGGACATGTACTATGAGAAACTTGGATTCTTGCTCACCTTTTGGAACATGGCCGGCGTGCCATTTTCATATTGTCATTGTGCACTTTACTTGGCCAACCATCATCCTTCTGAGTATCGCTGGAACAGATTCGCTCTGGCAGTGTTTGCCGTCCTATACATCTTCTTTTACTGGATGTGGGACAGTGCCAATGGCCAGAAAAATGCGTTCCGTCATGAGGAGAAGGGTCAGCTTATCAAACGTAACACTTTCCCGCAAGTTCCTTGGCAAGCTATCAAGAACCCCAAGACAATTCAAACCGATGCAGGCGATCATATCATGGTCGATGGCTGGTTTGCGATTATCCGGAAACCCAATTATGTACCTGACATGTTCTTCTCTATGTCCTGGGGTCTCATTACTGGATTCAAGTAAGCAATTCCTTTCGAAAAGGCCACCAACTCAGATAATAGTCTTTATGGCATCTCCAAATGCCGCCTCAGGTGGCTATTTACTAACCAAAGTTTTACAGGAGCCCATTCCCTTGGTTCTATTTTATTTTCTTCATGGCCATGATCATCCACCGTACCAATCGGGATATCAACAGATGCCGTCGCAAGTACGGCGAGGCCTGGAAGCGCTATGAGAAGCAGGTTCCCTACCTGTTCATTCCAGTAAGTTTTCAAATGATAACCAAGACAGGATTCAGTGCTGACTGGCCTGCAGTATGTCATCTAGATGGCGTGTTGACCATGCAAAATCGGTCAATGTGGCTACTTCTTTGCTTCTTGTACGAAATGGATACCTAATTTGGAGCCCTTGTGAACTCTACTTTCGCGTTTGACACCTGTCGGCCGCAGTCCTTTCTTTTCTTTTTTTCTATTGACACTTGCTAAATTTTGAGGCTACTTTTTCCAAGATCCTAGACTTTATGCTTTGGTATCTGATACCGTCTCTGATCGCAAGAGTGATACTGTTTGTAATATATTAGGCGAAGGATTGATAGAACTTTTTTTTTTCGAATACATTGATTTCAATTGTCTGAACCTTTCTGAAACTTCAGTCATCTATATTCACAGCCCTGGAGTAATTTATTCAGCAGTGCCAGTATTTGTTTAATTCCAGTTTGTAGTATGCGTCCCACTCCTCTAATATCAGCTCCGATAGTCTATAATCTACTAACATCCTCCCTATGCTTGAGTGGGACGGCACCATGCATGCAAGTGTCTGTTAGGATAATAGGCTGCAATACACTCTCGCCACTCCATGTCCTCGGGCGTCGTTCCGTCAATAACCATATCAAAGTTTCGAATCATAGTCGCAAAAGCGATATACATCTCTGCCCAAGCAAGGTTCATCCCGAAACACATGCGAGGACCTCGACTGAATGGCACAAGCCAGTGATCCAAGTTACTCTTGTTATGCGATTTGGGATTTGTCTTTCCATCCTCACTTTCCACTTCCTCCTCGCTCTCTAGCCACCTCGCAGGTCGGAAATCCAGAGCATCCTTACCCCATACATCCGCAGACTGGTGCACATGCAAGATCGCCATGCCAACTGTGGCTCCTCCTGGAATTTGCTGGCCCGAGATGACGGCGCCAGTCGCAGGTACAACGCGGGTTAGTGATACACCCGACGGGATAAAGCGAAGCGATTCTTTAATAGTCGCTGTGAGCAGTGGCAAGCGTTCGAGATCAGCTAGTAAGGGCTGCTTCTCGATATCAGGCCAAATAGTCAGAAGTTCACTTCTGAGCATTTTAAGGAGGATGGGATCCTGCATCGTATGCCAGTGACCCATGAGCAGCGTGTCTGCCACTGTATTCGCACCCGCGAAAATAAGTGTGAAACCCTCGTCGTGTAGCGCTGTCAGGTCCGGGACCTCTTTT